TATTATTATTGCCTTTGTTTTCTCTCCTGTTCTATGTGATTGTCATTCTTAGGTAGTTTCTAATCTAAGCAGAGAAAGCCCAGCCTTGTGGATTAAGCACAGGCCTCTGTGTAGAAAAACATACTCTAGTGTTTCTTAGGAATGGGACATGGAGTCACAGTGGCTCTGAGTTTTTTCTGACAGATCTATGCCCCTGAATAAAACTGTAGAAGTTCTCTAAGAATTTCTTTTGCTGCCAGTGTACGTTAGGTTGCACCTACTGCAGCCTGTCTATACCACTCTGAGAGGCTTTGGAGGTTTCTGAGCTTTACTTACACTCTTGAGGAGTAGAAGCAAAGGCCAGGAAAATCTCACTCCTGCCCCATCTGTGCATTGCACTTTCTGTTTCCAAGAGGTAATGTTACAAAATCAAGGGTTCTACCAAATGTAACTTTGGTCTTCCAATAGGGCTTGAAAATCTATTGTTTCCTTTTTTTCTACTTTAATTCTGTCCTTTATAATAATAATTAACTATTCTTAAAGTATAGCTTCAAATTTTTAGCCCATTTTTCTCTTAAACTATTGTTGAAATGGTAGTAAAGGTACTGTACAGCTAAGCATTTTGTATAAATGTGAATATAATGAAAAAGAAATGTTCCATTGTTAACTTTCTTTTTTCCCCAGTGAAACTGGCTATTTGGGAAGCATCACTGGATAAATTTATTGAATCTATTCAGTCAATTCCAGAGGTAATTATATCAATCTTATGCTTATTTTCAAAGATTGATTTTTATATGGCAAAAATATTAATTTCCCAATTTGACAGTATACAGTCAACCCTCAGTATCCATGGAGGATTGGTTCCAGGACTCCAGTGGATACCAAAATCCACAGATGCTCAAGTCCCTGATATAAAATGGCATGGTATTTGCATATAACCTACACACATCCTCCTGAATACTTTAAATCATCTTTAGATTACTTGTAATACCTAGTGCAATGTATATGCTATGTAAGTAGTTGTTAGACTGTATCATTTAGGAAATAATGATAAGGAAAAAAGTCTGTACATGTTGAGTACAGATGCAACCATCCTTTCCTCCTCCCCAGATATTTTCAATCAGTCTGGAGTTGGTTGAATCCACAAATGCAAAACCCACAAATACAGAAGGCTGACAGTATTTAGGAGTACAATAAAGTAACAACAAACACAAAAAAAGCTCACTGAATTTAAGCAAAATAGAGCTCCCAATTACATATAAAATAATGAAATAAGAAACTTCATATTGATTTTTTTTTTT